TATTAAAAATAAATAAAAAGAGTATATTTTAAAAATAATCTCACAATGTATTTGTAAAACTAAAATTTTAGAAAAATGTTCACCCCCAAAAAAAAAAAAAACAAGGAAAATGTATTGCAATCTTCGTCTGACCGTAAAAAGAGGAAAAAATGTAATAGAGGCTGTCTAGATCTATGTCCCATTGCCACGTGGATCCCCATTTATTGTTCCACTCACAAAATCACGCTAGCTGTCCTACTACACTTGCTACTTTGAAGTGGTAATGAAAAGTAGAAACCAGTACTCTTTTATTTTGGTACAGAAACCAGTACTCTTTAACTTAAGAGGAATGTGCATTCTTATAAATTCAACTAAAAACAAGTATTATTGGTTCTTTATGTCAAAATAAAGATTAAAAAATAGGTTCTTAATTTAAATAAGTGTTCTAATAATTTCTTGGAAGATATTAACTATATATTATTGGTCCACTCATTTCATAACTCAAATTATATCTTTTTTTATTTTAGCAATTATAGTATTTAATTCAAATCATTTCTAACATCTTCAATTGGTAGAACTTATATTTTATTCTTTTTTTTCTTTTTCTCCTTTTTTTTGTCTTATATATCAAAAAATTGAAATATATGCTTTTTCTTAGTAAAAGAATTGTCTGTTTTGCAGGTTGTGTTTTCAAATTTAGAGGAATTGGACTTGTCAGAGATTAAAATAAATCAGTTGTGGATAACACCTTCCTACACTGTGACTTCTCAAGAAATCTTGAATTTCGAAAAGCTTAAATGTCTACAAATTTATTTTTGTAGCAGCTTAGAATACCTTTTTACCCCTTCCATGGTATCAGGCCTTGGGCACCTCGAGAACTTGTTTGTATCATGCTGTCGAGATTTGAAACAAGTGATTATGGTAAAAGGAGTTGAGGAGGTAGTGAACACAGAGTTGATATTCCCACGGCTAAACTCCATTGAGCTATGGCATTGTGACAAGTTGTCAAGTTTCTATGTTGGAAGTTCTGCACTCAAGTTCCAATTGGCCATAAAAATTGACATTCATAATTGTCCAAATATGATTACATTTGCTTCTACATTTTCAACAGAGCAAGAGAAAGAGACAACTTATCGAGGAATTGAGGGACACCTTGGAAAGAAAGAACTTGATATTCGTAGTCGGACTATATTCTTTGATACGGTTAGTTTTTTGTTTCATAAATTTAACATTTAAAGCAGTTTTAATTATCGTTACTCACATACTATAATTTCCACTTCTTCTCAACATCACTCTTTCTTTGTTTTCTTCAATTAAAAAAAGCTAATTATAGTATAGGTCAACAAAAAGAAAAACATAAGAAGCATAGAATTATAAATGACTTTCACAAAATTTTGATAAAATTAAACATAAGGGTATGAATTATGGAATTCAAATAATCAAAATTAAAAAATTTTTAATCAAACTAAATACAATGATGATATATATTCAAAAACGAATTACACAATTTTTTGTGGAATTCATTTAAAACCAAATATTAGGTGTTTGGATTAACAATTTAAATCAAAAAATAATAGGTAAATGATATCACATGATCCATAGTTATTATTGCATATAATTTAAATATTTTTTAAAATTAATTAGTCTAATTAAACTACGAATTATTAATTTCAAATCTTTATACTAAATACTCTTAAAAGAGACAAA